TGTAGGCAGGCCGGTCGCTCTCGGTGTCGAGGGTGCTTTGGTCGCCCGTCGACTTGACGAGCGTCGCCTCGCTGTACGGCGCCGGGGCGGGTCGTCGCCGCCGGTGCACGGTCGGGTGCGCCGCATATGCAAGCACGGAGACGCCTGCGACGACGGCTAGCCACGGCGTCGCGGCGAGAAGCCAGCCCATAGCCTTCATCCTGTGTCCGAGCTAGTCACTTGGTCAATGACGGCGCGATGCAGATGGGCACAGTTGCCTCGAACGCACCTGGTTGACGATCGACCTGATCGGAGTTTCAGAGCCCACGCGCACCGTATTAGCGTGCGTAAGCGTGTATGGCAGACGCACCCATGCGCGGCGATGGCCGCTGCGCCGCCGTCTTGAGCGCAAGGACGCGCGGCCAGCGTATCTTTATCGTGCGTCGTCGGTATCTCCGGATGGCGCCGGATAACCGAGTGGCACGACCAACCGAACAAACCGAATTGCACGCGTAAAAAACCGATGGGCAAGTCGTGCCGGGACATGGCGGAGCAGCTCCGCGACTGCATGCTCGAGATGGAGTGCATGAGCGACGGGAAGCGGACGCTCAAGACGTGCCTCAAGCTCGACGAGTACAAGCACGAGTGCAAGGTAGCCCCGAACCCACGGCGACGACATTGAGCTCACGAGCGCACGATAGGAATACCGCTACGCGTACTTTGAGTGCAAGCGTGGCCAGATCGACATGCGCCAGCGCATCCGCGGGCCCAAGGGCGGCGCGTCGCAGGACTAATGCATCATCGGCAGCGATAGAATAGAGACACGCCTTGGTGGATTAAAAAAGCGGCCTTTCCTCGGACGTCTGCGAGCTCGACTGCTGCGTCTCGCACGCATCTTCCAGCAGCGCCTTCTCGACGCGATCGAGGTTCGAGAAGATCTGCTCCCGCAGCGTCGCCTCGTCACGGAACACATCCGCGTGGTGGGCCGGCGCGATCGTCTCGGTGGTCAGCGGCTTGATGGCCTCGGACGGCGCCACGTTGTCGACTTGATGGACGACCGTGATCCGTCGTTTGTGTTGGCGGAGCGAGCCATCGAGATCAGTGACCAAGAGGTCGTCGGCGACACTTTTCGTCGCGACCGACGGCAGTATTTCATCGACGCGTTGCATCGCCGGACCTCGGCTCGGCAGCATTATCGTCTGGCGCGTCACCGCCGTCGGGTGGTGCATCACTGCTTCTCGCGCCACCGTCAGGAGACGCACGGCCTGCGTGAGCGTCTCGATCGACTGCTCCATCTTGTTGATGCGCGACGTGACGTCGTGAAGGCACGTGGTCGCGTCGCATAGCATCCGCAGCGCAGCCTTGTCGGTGCCTGCAACGTGCGGGGGCACATGGTGGGTGGGCCGGCGCGCTGCGTCGGGGGCGGCCGCAGGTTTGGCCACATTGGGCTTGACAGCGTCGTTCTTGTACTTTTCCATGATGAGCGACTCGAGCTTTTGGCGGTCGTCCTTGTGCCGAGCAATGATTTGGCGGAACCCAGTCCGGTGCAGAACGCAGAGCACACAGAACGTCTTGGCGCGGACGCACGCCGTGCGCCGGCAGTCCATGAGCAGCGCGATTTCGCCAAAGTAGTCGCCGACCGAGATGAGCTTGATCACGCGCTTGTCTCGACCACCGGCTTCGACGAGCACTTCGCACTCGCCGCGCTGCACGAAAAACATTTCAAATCCGGTCTCGCCAATGTTGATGATGAAATCCTCGGGCATGTAGACGCGGGTCTCGAGCTGGAGCACAATCTCCTGCACGACTTCGGGGCTGCACTCTTGCATGAGCGGCACGCTTCGGATCATTTTCTAGCCATATTCGAGATGCGTCAAAAGAATGGGATCGATCGATCGTACCGCGTTCAAGTAGAGCATGACTTCGCGCTGGAGGTTGGTCGAGAGCTCCGAGACAAACGGCGCGGACCGGCCATCGAGTGTGTGGTACTGCTGCCAGAGGTACGTGTAGTAGAGGTGCACGCGCTGCTGGACTTCCTGCGGCAGCCCGAGGTGCTGCATGGACTCGTACACGTCCTCCATCTTTTCGCGGTACTTGGTCGAATTCGCGTACAGACTCGAGACAACGATCGCGACGTCGCCGTAGACCGTCGCCATGGCCACCGAGCCCGCGATCGACACAAATGTGAGAAAGACCATCTCGTTCAGTGACGTCGGCAGAATGTCCTGGCCGAGGAGCGCCATCATGCAGCTGTAGTAGCAACGCGCGTATGTGTAGCGGAGACTGGTCGGGTCAAAGTGGAGGTCGCCCCACCCGCCGGGCGCGGACGCAATCGCGTACCAGATACAGGCGCAGATGTGGTCCATGTACATCACAATCAGAATCAAGCGCATGAGACGCGTGAGGACGGAGCCGGTGGAGAACTCGAGCCACCACCAGAGCGGACCGTCTGTCTTGAGCGCCTTGGCCAGTCGAAGGATGCCCAAGACCCGCGGAATCCGAGTGGCTTTGAGGAGCACCGCGTCCTGGATGTCGGCCATACGCACGTGCAGAAGCGTCTCGATCAAGTCGATGGGAATGACCGCCAGGAGGTCCAGAAGCAGCCAACCTACAGTTGTGACAAGACGTGGAAAAGGAAATGTATGTACTTTGCGCATAGTGACACGCGATGCGGGATCGAGATCGAACGAGGTACTTGTCCTTGGCCGAGATGCTGCTCGAGTACTTGAGGGTGAGCGTGCGCTGCTCGTCCCGCGGGTCTTGTTCGTAGTAGGCAATGTTAAAGGTGACGAGCACGTCGAGTGCAAACAAGACGTCGACAACGTAGTGAAACACCTGCCACGGCGTCCCGCGCAGATCCGGGTCGATTGCGATCGCAAATGGAATGTGCACGGCTTCGTACAAAAGCAACAAGAGGATGAGCGAGCGCCACGCCTTGAGAAGCGAAGCGGTCGGATGGATGACGTCCCACAAGGCCGCATGCGATGACGCGGCGCTTCTCGAGCGTCGCCGAAAGCTCGGACGTTTTGTCTGACGCAAGTTGAAGATACCAATCATCTCTTGATGCGCTTTCATTTCCTCGGACCGGCGAATGAGCGACTGTCGCCGGCCAATTGGCAGCGTTAGGCTGCCACGACCGAGGAAAACAGAGCTCGCGCGCTTCCAGCGCTTGCTCTTGAGCGAGTCGCCTACCGTCGGCTGGAGCGACTTGCGACTGCTCGCGAGATGGCAAAGCCGCCGCTCGGCGCCCTTGGCTTGCAACTTGACTTGGGTCACGCGATCCCGGAGCGTTAGTGTACGTCGAAGTGTTGGCTTGGGCGCGTCGGGAAGCATGGGGCCGTCAATCGTGCGGCGCGGTACCATGGGCAGCACGCGCTGGCTCTTGATAAGGCCCGAGAGCCGAGCCATCGACGAGCCCGAGGAAAGGCTGGCGTGCGCAAAGCCAGACAGCCGGGCGCTGAGCGACGGTCGACGCGGCATGGATGCGTACCGCGATCGATCGTCATGATCGCTCCCAGTTGGAGGCTTGCGGCTTGAGAGCATTCGCGGCAAAACCAGACTGTCCGTTACTCTAGATAACGCTTGTAGCACGTGCATGCGCCAGGTCAGCAACCAAAAGCCACGACTCTCGTAATACTTGAGCTGTGTGCCCAGGAAATACAACCACTCGCAACCGCAGAGAGAAACGCGGCAGAGAGCAACGCGGTTGGACACGCGGGACTGATTCACTCTACCCACGGCATAGTGCTGGTCGAGCATAACATCGCCACAAGTCAAGTGCCCTACCGGTACTCAGGTGCAGCAGTTTTAGTCATAAGTAATGTATGAGTAAGTAGCTAATAGTGTCGTTGAGCCTCGCAAAGACGACGCATACACTCGATGGTTGCATCCTGGCGATTCGGCGTGCCACGTAATCGAGACCGGATTGGTCCATTACCTTGCTGTTTTACACCAATGACCGCAGGTTTGCATTTTGGAGCTTGGGCGCAGGATGCAGTTCCGCGATCTGGCCGCCGTCTTCCGGCGCATCGAGGCAGGAGCACATGGCAAATGCACGCACGAGCTCATGCGCTGCGTAGGCCAAGAACTCGCGCGACGCCAGCATCGCCGAGCTTGCGGCGACCTTCCGCGAACTGCGCGCCTCGCACCCGGCGCAGCTGCCCCGAGCCTTGTACCTCGCGACGTCGCAGGTGCAAGCACCGGAACCATTGCATCCGCGTGCCCACAATTGCTTTCTTCGCGCGTAGTTGGCGCCGACGCATGCCGGCGTGGAGCTCCGGTTCCGCGACAAGTCGTTTGCGCCCGTCCTCACAGCGGCGTTTGCCTGTGCGCCGCGTCGCGACCACGTCATGCTCAATCTCCATTGTAGCGCCGACCAAGGCGTTGAGCCAAGACGACGTGTTCGCCTTGTACAAGCAGACAGGTCGGAACACATAGCAGTCTCGTGTGTCCTCATCGCCGTTGGTAGGCGACTATGGCACGGCCGTCGACGAGCTCTTGGCCAGCGCGCGCTTCGACTTGCACAAGGATAGCGCGCGTGCACCCATGACCATCAACTCTGTCTTCGAGTGCGTCTCTACTCTATTGATTGATGTCAACACGGGACCCAGGCAATTGACGCTGCTGTCCACTCAAGTTGGCAAAGGCTCGACAGCGCGCAAGCAGGTAGCATCGCTAACGCGCCCGCACGCGCATTGACTCGCGCGTAGGAGATCGCGACGGCGCTTCTGCGGCAGTGTGGGTACGAGCCTGTGATGCAGCCTTTCGACCTCACGGATTCATGCACAGGACGCGCGACGAAGCCACGTTCCTCGTTCGCCTCTTGGCCGTACGCAGCGACGACCTCGCGAGAGGCGATTGATAGTGTCTCATGCGGGATCTGCTTCTACTAGCACCAGAACCTGCGTATCGGCGTTGGCGTCAAGACAGCGCTCGCGGCGCTGGCCGACGCCTACGTGGCGATTGGCGATGACGCGAAGGACGACCGAAAAGCCACGACCAAAGCGTGGCTGACGTCGGTCGTCACGGCCTACTCGCAGCGCCCTAGCTTTGACGACCTCGTTGCCATCATCGACGGCTGCGCGACCAGTGCTTCGCTCGACGACATGTGCGACTGCGTCCGCACGCATGCCAGTCCTGTCCCAGGCACACCACTTCAGACGATGCTCGGCTACCCGGCCGCCTCGCTCGCCGAGGTGTCTGCTGCCATAGAAGTCGTCTTCCATAAGTCTTACGGGCGAGTAGATTGTCGAGCGCATGGCCAAGCTACCGAATGCCATGGCGGCGTGTGAGTTCAAGTACGACGGCGCGCGGCTGCAGGTGCACATGACAGCGAACGGCGATGTGGCCATCTTTAGCCGCAACATGGAGCGCATCCCGATCGAGCACAAGTACATGCGCACGCTGCGTCACTCGTTGCACATGGCGCCCGGCGTCTCGTCTTTGATTCTCGAAGGCGAGATGGTCGCGATTGATTGCAGCACTGGAAAGCTACAGCCGTTCCAGACGCTGCAGACAAAAGACGCGGAAGACATGTGCTTCTTCGCGTTTGATTGCCTTTACCACAACGGCACGTCGCTCGTGCAGGTAGATGGCGACGACCTATGCCAACTGCGAAAAAACCTGGCTAGGCGCCCCTCGAAGATCGCCGCGCGCGCCTTCACCAGTCGATTGTGCCACAGCCCGGCAGCGTCGAGTTTGTAAAAGCGTTCGATGTCGATGTGACGACGCCGTCAGCGATCTCGGACGTCCGGCGCGTGCTGCAAGGCGCCATCGACGCCGACTGCGAAGGGCTCATGGTCAAGTCGCTTGGCGAAAGCTACAAGGCCGGCGCCCGCACGCACACGTGGCTCAAAGTCAAGGGCGACTACCTCTCGGGCGATGACGCGGGCGGTGGCAGCGCCGGCATCTTCTTGCCCGACTCGCTCGACCTCGTGCCCATTGCGGCGTACCACGGAAAAGGCCGGCGCGCCAACGTTTACGGCTCGTTCCTTCTCGCTTGCTTCGACCCGTCGTCCGGAACGTACGAGGTCGACCGACACAACCGCAACGGTCTCCTCACGCCTCTCTGTATCATAGACGGTCGGCAAGGTGGGCTCGGGCTTCACCGATGCGCAGCTCACCGAGATTTCGGACCGCCTGCAACCGACAACCCTCGTCGGCAAGCGTACGTTGTGGACGCAAACAGCAGAGGCAAATGAATGGTGGTGGTGTGTAGCGACCGCGTATCGCGCCAGCACCTTGAAGTCGGTGCAGCCAGACGTATGGATTCCGCCCACCGAAGTCTGGGAGATCCGCGCCGCGCAACTCACGCAGTCCAGCCGGTACCTCGCCGGCGCGCGGGAGGGCACCAAGGGCCTTGGTGTCCGCTTCCCCCGGTTTTTGCGCCCGCGCCCCGACAAGCGCCCCGAGAACGCCACAACGAGTGACCAGCTCGTCGAGCTCTACGAAGCCTCCGTCTCGTCAAGTCGTGCCGAGCAGGACGAGTCGTTGGCGTAACATTCTCCAAACGCCAGATTATAAACTGTCGGACTTGGAAACAAACTCGTGAGCCTAGCCGCCGTTGATGTTGGCGCGTGACGTGCTCGACGCCTTCTCAAAAGGTGCACAAGTCTTCTCTCTGCATACATTGTGTGCTCCAGACATCGGTCCAATTGTCAACTGTTCAAAATGGCACCGACGGTCGCACTCGGGAGCACGGGTACCATACCTTGACGGGAGTTTCGAGCCACTTGCGAGCTGCTACGACTCGTACACGTCTTCGAGGTGGCTCCAGGTCCTCGCAAAGTGCTCGGTGCATGCAATGTGTCTGGCTTGAATTGGACGCTAGCGACCAAGTCACAACTCTTTACATTTTCAGTCTGTATTACTTGGCCTATTGACTAATGAAGTGCTACTCCGCCTTCGCAACTACTTCGGAGGCGCCTGCAGACGTCCGCGGCCGTCGGGCGATCGCGCGGCGCATAACTTAGACACTCTGCAATCACCTGCGTCCACGCCGGCGGCACCTCGTCGCCGAGTGCGTGAGGCGGAACGCGCGGCGTTTTTCGGGTCATGTACATATCGTAGACGTAGCCGTCCGCCGCGACGGGTCCCACGGCGTGCAGCAGCGGCGCGTACGGTCGTTGCCGCGAGAGCACTTCGCCCAAAATGACACCAAGCGCGTAGACAGCCGCAGCTTCGTCGTCCATGTCATCACGTCGCGTCTCGGTCGTCAGCAGGTGCGACGCGACCTCTGGCGCCAGAAAAGCGAGGCGGCCCGTGCCGAACGACAGCTGCACGGACGTCGAGTCGAGGTCGTCGAGACACGTGACGATGTTGAGCTTGCACGTGAGGTTGTCGTTGACAAGGATCCGGTCGGTGCGAAAGACGTCAAAGGCCGTGCCGAGGACAAAGCCGGTGGCTTGGAGGTACGCGACGCCATCGGCGATCTCGAGGCACATGCGCTGCGCTTGGTGCAGCGTCAGCGGCGACCGCTCCACGTGCAAGAAGGACGAGAGCGTCCCGTGTTCCATGTGCTCGAAGACGGCGCAGAGCGAGATGCCCGAGAGCTTGGACGCGCCGAGAAGCTCGACGACGTGTTCGTGCTTGAGCAGCGAGAGCGCCGCGACGCGCTGCACGAAGCGCTTGGCCACATCCGGGCGGTCGCGGTGGTCGAGGCGCCGGATCAGGACACGCTCGCCGTCAAAGCTGCCCGAGAGGCCGCCGGGAATCGGGCATCCCGACCGCGACAGCCGCAGCTCGTCCGGCGACAAGAGGCGATAGCATCGGTCCGACTCGGTGTGGAACGGCGTCGAGTCCTCGCCAATCTCGGTGAGCGGTGAGATGAGGTCGCCGGGCTTGAGCGTGTCGGTGGCGACCATCATGGGCGTGTTGTGCGACAGAAACAGGTGGTTGTCGTCGAGGGTCGTGGCGTACGCGGGGTGGTCGAGGTCTTCGAGCACCGAGTCGGCGTCGTCCTTGGCGTTGCGCTGGCGAATGATGATCATGGCAATGATGACGGCGAGGCCGGCGCCACCGACGCCGGCAAGCAGCGCCATCTGCCAGCTCGAGACGGACGAGGACGACGGCGGCGATGACGGCACCACGTCACGCGCCGCCGACGACGTGAGCCCCGGTGTTCCCGACGCCACGGCTGCGTCCGGGCCCTTGACAGTCGCATCCACTTTGATTAGCATCGCATTGTACTTGGCGAGCTGTGCTGTGGTGAGCGCAAAGGGCTCGATGGGGTTCCCAGTCAAATCACTACAACAACAGATAGAAGGGTCAGTCTATCATCGTTCACGTCGCTCGCGTACATGGTGACGGTGGAGATCGGCAGGTCGAGGAGCTGCAGCGGGAATTGTTTAAGGTTGTTGTTCTGCAGGTCACTGGACACGCCTGAGCTACAAATAATACACGCCACTGCGACGTACATCTTTGCGATCTTGGTGAGCGCGGCGACGTTGAGCGTAGGAAGGACGCTGAGACCGCAGCTGGTGATTTGTCTGCGCAAGGACACCTTGTGAGTTCATGCCTGCGTGACATGGGGCGTACAAGTGCGTCAAACTTGGGAAGCGGGAAAAGTCGAGCACCGACGATGGCAGCGCGCACTTGGTGAGAATGCTAGTCCACGCACATTAAACCGGCGCGCCTCTTGCTGTCGTACAGGGTGGTGAGCGGGAGCGCATCGGCCACCGTCCCGGGCCCTAAGGTGAGCGACTCGAGCGTTCTAGCACCCACACCACGACGTGAGCTCGCAACGCGACGGACGATCCACAACGCACAGCGAGACGAGGCCTTTTACGTTGGCGATGCTCTCCAAGCCAAAGGTTGAGAGGCCGGACGCCGACGCGCTGATTTTGCTACACGCTCCATGAGCCTTCTTCCTCTGCTTCGCATCGTACAGGTTCTTGACATCGTTCGCCGGGTCGACGTCCTTGAACGCACCAAAGCTCGTGACGCTGGCCGTAATGGACGTGGACGCATTCGAGGACGTGACCAGTGGCGTTGGCGCCGGCGTCACAATGACATCCATCGTGTGGCGCATGGGCACGCAGTGGGCTGGCTCGCATGCGACGCACCACGTGGCGCCCACTTGGTTGAGCATGCCCGTGCAGGCGGCGGTCGCCCGCCCAGCGGCAATGGCGGCGGCGAGGACGAGCCAGCGCGCCCGATTCGGGAAGGACGCCATCCGTGACAATGGTCAAGTCGGTCGCGTGTCGGCCGGCGCGCCACCTGCTGCAAACATCCAGCGCAGCCATAAACAGTGTTTCTATAGTGAAACGTCGCTTCGAACCAGTTACTTACCATGTTCGTCAAAGCCAGCTGCTGCTGGGAGAGGTCCACTGCGATCGGTGGCGGCGTCCGAGAGCGGTGTCCGAGCAAGTAATAGCACACCGCCGTACTCGTACTCGGCGGCGACACGACAACCGCGGATCGCTTGTTGCCGTCAACAGCGGCAGCCGACCCTCCGAGACCAAGAGCGGCGTAGCAACGGCGTTCGGGCTTCTTCAATTCCAGGACGTTTCGATCCGCGTTCCGCTGCATTAGAGCTTGTCACGTGGGCAGCGACTCGCATGACAAACTGTGTGCTGGCCAGGACACACTAGGACACACCCGCCTTAAATTACATCCTCGAGCATGGGTCCGTCCAATTAGTGCTGCAAGACGGGTTGCATCTGATGGCGTACGATGGCGCCGCAGTAGACGAACGCGTTAACATTACTCTTTCATGCCACTAAACTCGCCGGCGACGGCACTTGCCGGCGGTCGCTTGGCCGGGTTGACGTCCAAGCACGCAAAGACGACCGACTGGAAAAAGCTCGGGCACGCGGCGAGCGTCGGGTCTTCTTCGTACGCGCGCGCGTGCAGCCACGTCTTTGTCGGGCGCGACCCCATGGCGATCTCACAGCAAATGACACCAAACGCATACATGTCGGCGGCATCGGTCCGGTGGCTCTGCTCGCTCAGCACCTACGACGCCACATGATAGGCTATCACGATGTGGAGGTCCTACCTCGGGGGCTTCCCAGGGCATGCCGCGCCATGCGAACCCGTCGTCGTCGTCGTCGGACTCGTCGACGCCCATGTCGACGTAATCCAAAATGTTGAGTTTGCACTTGCGGTCGGCGTCGAGGAGGACGCGACTGCTCGTGAGGCAAACGGCGCGCGGCCAGACCGCGTGCGCGTGGGCGAATTGGAGGCCGGCGGCGATCTGATAGCAGAGCCGGAGCTTCTCGGGCCACAGGAGCGGCTGCGAGACGAGTACGTTGGCGAGCGTCCCGCCGGGCATCGCTTCGACGACAGTCGACACTTCGCCGTTCTCGGTCGTGTTGGCCACGATCGAAAGCACGCGCTGCACATGCGGGTGACGCCAGCCGGCGAGCTCTTTTACCGACGAAATGTACCGCGTCCGCTTGTCGTCCGAGGGCGACCCAAGGCGCTGGACGACGACCGGCAACCCGTCGAGCGTGCCACTCCAAATGCGTCGGCGCGACGGTAGCGGTGCAATGCACTCAACGGCCACATTGGGTAGCTCATCTGGTCCGAGCGACGGGTGGCTGAGCGGTCGGCGCTCTTCGACGCGGCTGAGGCGAATGCCAGGGCTTATCTGCGGTTTGTAGTCAGTCAGTCCAAAGTGCGACCCGGACGCCGACGCTGGGCTCAGGTGCTCGTCGGATGCGAGCGGTATCGTGTGGTCATTGCGGGTCTTCCGCGCCCGCTGCAGTCGTCGCACAGCAAAAACACAGAGCGCGATGAGCACAGCAGCGCCAAGAACGACCCCGATGACGAGACCTGTGTGGCTACGGCTATTGCTGTCACTGGTGGGCGCGGGTGTCGGCGCCGGCGTCGTCGTCGTCGGTGGTAGCGTCGGTGCAGACGTTGGCTTGGGCGTCGGTTCGGGAATGCTGCACGTCGGCGTCGGCGTCGAGCAGTTGCAGACGATCGCAGCGCCCTGGGTGCCCACGACTTGGTTGTTTTGGATGGCGGCGTTCAGATTGAGGCATACGCTGGGCGTCAAGGATGGTATCGGCGCTTCGAACCGATTGTTCTCAAACATGTAAGTGACGGGCGACGTCGACGAGATCGAGTTGCGAAAGAGACTGATGGGAAAGGTGGCCATGAGGTTGCTTCGGAACGTCAAGCTGTCGGGCATGTGGTCCAGCGGCGCCGCTGCGTCAAAGTCGATGTGTAGCTTGGTCAGTTGCCTACCCATCATCGCATCATCGCATCATCGCAAGGATTGGCGTACAGTGTGGCGATCTGCGCGCAACTCGTCCACACCGAGACGTTGTAGAGGGTCGTGTTGGCCATTGGCGTCGCCGCGGCTGAGGCGGTCGCATTGTAGACGCCCCACGCGTCGAGGCCGGGCGCCTGCGCAAACCACGCGCAGCTCGTCGCGTTGCCCGTGCCGCAGCACGCGCGCATCGCGTCCGAGGCCTGCGAGATGGGCACGCCTGCGCAGAGCGTCTTGAAGGCGACGACCTCGGTGGAGGTCGACCTCGCCCAGCTCGCCCAGCCGACGGCGATCGAGTTGTCGGGCGTCGTCGGCGCCGGCGCCGTCGTCCGCTGCATGCGTCGCTATACAAACTCCAAGTTGTGGCCGATCAGTTTCACGGCGGCAAATCAGATGCCACTTGATGAGCCAATCATGCGCCCGCGACAAAAGTTTGCAACGCGAGCGGCAAAAATGTGGGCCAGGCGTCCGAGCCGCCGTCCGAGCCGCCGACGCACCGACCGGCGCCACGCACCATTTGAATCCGAATGCAACGGCGTCCACCGTCGTCGTCGTCGTCGTCGTCGTCGTCGTCGTCGTCGTTGATTTCGGTGGCGCCGGCGTGAGAAGACCCGACGCATTCCAACGGTGGTAATATCTGCGCCCACCCACCCGTGCGCGATGTCTCTTGCAATGCGTACTGTGTTTTTCTTCCGTCCGTGTCGGTACAACTGCGCAACCCTCGAGAGCGTGTACATGTCGTCGTGCAGGACGACGACAAGCACGTCGTTGTTACTGAACACGAGAAATAGGATTAGGAAGCAGCTAGACGTCCGTGGCGGGTGGCGGCGGTCGCGCTGCCTGGGCAGCATCAAGGAGTGCGCGGAGCGTGGCGACGACCGACATGGCCGTCGGGCGCATGCACGGGTCCCAGTCCAAGCAGGCCGACACGAGTTGCGTGAACGCGTCGGGCGCGCGTAGAAAGGTCTCGTGGTCTTCGTGCGGCATGGCTGTCGGAAGGCGGCAGAGGATCTCGACGTCGCTGCCAACGTGGCCGAGCCGGTCGATCGCGCTCTGGTACGGGTGCCGGCGCGTCGCAATCGAGCTCAGAATCACGCCGAGGGCAAAGACGTCGGTCGCGTGGCCGCGCGGCGCGCCTTTGCTGAGCACTTCGGGCGCCTCGAACGCCAGCGTGCGACTGCCAAACGACGTCCCGACGACCGCGTCGACGTGTTCGTAGTTGGCCATAAAGTCAAAGACGTTGAGCTTGCACACGAGCTGCGTGTTGACGAGCACGTGGTGCGACGTGAGCGTCCAGAGCCGCGGGTGGTTGTCGTCTGTACTGTGCAGATACGCGACCGCTGACGCGACTTGCCACGCGAGACAGATCTGCTGCGGCCACGTCAGCGGCAGGCTCGCCGTCTGCAGCACCTGCGCCAGCGACCCCATGCTCATGAGCTCGGCCACGACGCAGAGCTCAAAGTCGTTCATGCGGGCGATGCCATACAAGCGGAGCATGTGCGGGTGCTTGAGCTGCGCGATCGCATTGACGTCGGCGACAAACGTCTGGATCTTGGCGTCGCCAACCTCTTGCGCGTGCACCCGCTTCATGACAACCTCGCGGCCTTTGAACCGGCCAATCCACATGGAGCACTTGGCCGAGATCGGCAGAATCACCTTGATGTCTTTCGGCTGCAAGATCGGGAGTTTGTGCACCGTGTGGGCCTTGAGCGTCACGCCCCGGCTCGTCAAATGGAGGTGGCCCATCATGCCGGCGTCTGGCGACATCTGCGAGTCATCGGTCGTGGTGCCCGGCGATGACATGAGCGACTTGGTCGAGCCAAAGCCTCGGAGCGACTCGGAGATGAGCTGGAACGGACCACGCGTCGAGCCGAGGTTCCGGTCCGACGCCAAGTAGACGGGTTGGGCCATGATCGGCGTGTCGTCCGAGGGTCGCGTCGCGACGGCGGCGCGGTACCGGCGCCGAATCCAATAAAAGACGACCAAGAGCGCGGTAATGACAACCACGAGGATGATGACGAGGAGTGCGACGGACCCGCCGTTGCTGCGGCCGCCCGCCTCGTCGCTCGACAAGAGCTGCACAACCGTGGGCGCCATCGAGTCGCTGCAAAAGGGCGCGGTGGTGCAACTCCTGCATGCCAGCGACGGACTGTCGATAACGCCGGCCGTCATCGCCGCGTCGAGACCGTTGCACTGAATAGTCGTCACGGGAAAGGACGTGTCGGCACCAAACTGATTTCGTCGAAGCGCCAAGGACCTACGCATATACCGAGTGTTCCTACAGGGTCGACAGGAGAGAGAGAGGGCGCACTGGAGCTGGGCCGAGGCGGCAAGGAGCCATGCGGCAGGAAAGCTCGGGAGGCTGCTGTCTGTGAGGCTCACGACGCGGACCAATGGCGGCAGTGCCGTTAAGGTCGTGAGGTTGCAAGCAACAAGGGATCTAAAGCGCGCGCATGAGTAATCAAACAGGCAGGTGCATGGAGAGCATGGATGTACAGGTTGCGCAGCGCGGCGACGGGCCATTGCTCGAGGGCCACGGCGACGTCGCGGAGCGCTCTATGCCGCGATGAGTTGTCATCGATGACAAGACGGCGTCGTACAAGGCTTCCAGAGAGGCGAACGGTTCCCAGCGTCGCATGTCGATCGTCGGCTTGGAGGCGGCTGCGCCAGTGATCGAGCCGCGGATGACTGCCCCGTTTGCAAACGTAGCGCAGGCGCGGGTACCATCGGCGAGGGCGCAGCACCACGTCGCACCGTCCTGGGCGCTCATGGGCCGGCCGACGCAGAGGTCTGACCAGCGGCGCCAGTCGGCAGTCGTCGTCATCGTCGTGCTACCGGTGGTAGTTCCAGCGTGGCGCAGAACGCATGCAGCCCGCTGGGCCGAACCGTACGCACGGTCGCAGCGCATGTCGCAAGGCTCGGACAAATGCGCTGCTTCTGATTGGCGCACGCCGTGTCACGCCACACCATTGGTCAAAAGTACACCGTCATTGCCGCAAGATACGGTTAAATAGGCTAAACGCGTCTTCAACTTACCCAAAGTTCTTGGAGAGGAGGAGCAGCTCGCGGCGCAGCTCCTCGGCGACCGAGACCGCCAGCGGCCGCTTGAGCACGTCGCGCTGGAGGCAGGAGAGCATGAGCAACCGGAAGGGCTTGGGACACGACTCGAACTCGACGTCGTCGCTGAACGGGTACTCGGTGCTCTTGGCGTCGCGGTCGAGGATCGCCACGTCGGCGCGGACGAAGCCGAGCGCGTCGACATAGCGCTGGAACGGGCGCGTGCGCGTGACAATCTCGCCCATGACCACGCCGAGCGAGTAGACGTCGGCCGTGCCACCTCGCGGGCAGTCGTGCATCAAGACCTACATCACCGTCAAACCCTGCATCCTCCAGGAATACGGTACGATGTACCTCGGGCGCCTCCCATGCGATCGTGCCGTCGCCATAGACGCGATGGACTGTCTCGTGCTGCTGGAAGTGGCGCATGTACTCGAAGATGTTGAGCTTGCACGTGAGCTGCGTGTTGACGAGGACGCTTCGGCTCGTCAAGCACTCGGTGCGCGCAAACTCGGCCTGGCTGTGGACGTACGCGAGGCCGGAAGCGACCTGGAAACACATGCGCAGCGTGTCGGGCCACGCGATGTCCACGTCCTGGTTCATGAGGATGTGCGGAAGCGACCCGCAGTGCATAAACTCGGCCACCGCGCCGACCTCGTAGTCGCCTAGGCGCACGATGCCATGGAGCGCCACGAGCTGCGGGTGCACGAGCTGCGCGAGCTGGTTGACGTCCGAGACGAACGTGGCGACATCGTCCTCCGAGATAATGCGGGCGTCAACCCGGCGCACGACGACGTTCTCACCCTTGTACTGCCCGGCAAAGACGGCCGGACCCATCGCCTTGAGAATCCGGCACTCGCCCGGCTGCAGAATCGGGACCTTGTCCACGTGGTGCGTGATCGGCATGCGCGACGACCGCATCGACGCCATGACTTTGAGGTCGCGCTCGCTGCTCAAGTGCGACGAGAGCGAGTCGACGTGCTTGAGCGACCGGGGCGCGCCCGTGAGCAGGAGCGGGCGGGTAAACGCATGGCCCGACTGCGGCGAGAAGAGCGTACCCGAGACGGTCGTGGGACCACCCGGGAGGTGCGACCGCAGTCGCTTGCGCCGGCGGTACAAGAAGAGCGCCGCCGCCGCCAAGAGCACAACGATGACCAGCATCGACGAGATGATCACGGTGCCCGAGTCCGAATGCGACTCGCCGCTCGTCTTGGCATTCGCAGGGTCGCTTTGTGGTGGTGGTGCAGTGCCAATTTCGGTCGGGTGCGTTGAACTGGTGCTATTGGTGGGTGATGGCGGCGGCTGCACCGGTGCTGTGGTTGGTGACGTCGCTGTCGTCGGCGCGACCGTGGTCGGCGGCGGCGTCGTGGTTGCCGGCGCCAGCGCGCACGTGGCATTGGCGCCAGCACAGTTGCACGCGAGCTTGTGACCCGTGACATGGCCCGCGTCGATGGTTTTCTGAAGACTCGAACACTCGTCGCCACTGAGCGCGAGCGTCGCGGGAAATTTGTTGCCGCCCACATCGAGGTGCCTACACGCCCGCGATAAGACGACCGAGACGACGTCGCTATCGTACTGGATCGACGCATAGTTGGTGCGGAAGAGGAACGTCGGAAACGAAGAGAGCGCATTCCCATGGAGGTCCAGGACGTGCAGGGACGCGATCGGAGGCGTCTCGATTGCGCTCAGGTCGGCATCAATGACGCTACTACTCCAAGCGTTGAGACGATGGTCGACGCGTGAACCTACAGTTTCTGCATCGCGCCGTAGCTGAACGTCGTGGGCGTGATCGCATCGGCTATCGAGACGCCAGCAATGTCCCTATGCCGACCAAGAATATGAGCTCGCTCGTTATCCGAGGTGTCGTACAGCCACGTGATGTGTTGAAAGCTACTCCAGTGGTTGGCGAGGCGCGTCGTGGGCTTGGCGCTGGACCGTGCTGGGTCATAAAAGAGGTTGATCCGAGTGGCCTGGAAGGCTGTGTTGTAGTAGAGGCACTGCCGGACGGCGCTCGTGCTCGTCTCAAAGCAGCACGCCGAGCCCGCGGCTTGGTCAAAGCCAATGTCTTCAAACTGCCCGCAGTGGGTGAGGAACTGCCGGACGTCGTCGCTCGCACAGCCATTCTTGTCGCTCTTGCTGCAGTGGAAGAAGGCGGCCTTGATCGGCTCGGCCATCGTGTCCATACCGGTATTAATCTAATATCCAGGAATGAGCGACGACCGTGCGCTGGACACGCTCGGAACTGGCTGACGTCCCACGCTGCAAGGTACTCGACGTCAATGGGTGGATTCGAGGCGTCGCGTACATCTGCGTTCAAGCATCGTTCTTAGGAAGCGACAAGGCCAATGGGACCGCTGCACGCTGCGCCGCTTCAACGATATGCGCGGCCACATTGCCTTTCCAGCAGCCTCTCCACCGGGCGCGGCCAATCAGACGCACGCCAAGACGCCAGAGTAGCCAATCAGATGCTACACGCGGGTGCTGGAAGGGCGACTTGGATTTGCAACAGTCTTGGGTAGCCTTGGGTACACTTGTGCTGCTGCGATCGATCGATCGATCAACGACGCACTGGCCATCGAAAGATCGGTCGGCTGCGGTCGGCGAAGGATCGGTGGCGCTATCACCTTGCTCGCTCCCGCTCGCGACTTCGACCTGTCATTGCCGGCATCGAATGCGATGCGCTTGTCGTTGTGCGCCATGGCGGGCGTGACGCAGACCGCCGTGTGAGATCGGGCCGAGGACATCCAGCGCGTCTTTTGTTTTCATTTCGGCGCACATCAATTGGGTTCAAGGATTCGGGGCTTCTGCATGATCAGGCGATGCGGCAAGTTCATCGCCTTTCTGGCGTCGGCCATGCACGCGCGGAGCTTTCGCCACGTTCGATCGTCGTTGCCGTCAAAATTGTGCTCTACAACCCGCTACATTGTCGTCTCCACGCATGGTTTCGCAGCGCGGGATTTCACCGACGACATGCCACAGTGACGACCGGCACAGACGACACTCACCACAACCAAGGGTCCATACATACTCAGTGCATGGACCCTTGCCACAAATCCACCATCCCAAGCTAGCCGCCAACACGAGCGCACGGCCCTACAAGGTTAAGGACATCAATGGCTCTATCATCTTGCAGATGGCGATCATCCCTTGCGCGAGTCCAATCTCATGTGGATCTTCTACCGAGTCTGACGTCAAGACGTTGATTGGGATCGGCTATGTAAAACAGAGTCCATGTTGTTCTCGAATTCGATTGTCGGCTATATAAAGTCGTCCACACACCTCGTGTAAAGCCTCATTCCATCCGCATGGCCACGTACGACGGCTTCGCCTTTGGCGGGCATGTGCCGGTCATCGCCGCCGACGCTTTGCAATGCTCATGCGACTCTGGATGCAACCGTAGGCGCCGACGGAGCTCTACTGCAATGACTGCCAGATGCACGTCCACGCTGTAGCCGACGGTACTTCTTGACGGAGGTACAGAACGCTCATCATCATGCCACTGGCAGGCGACCGCCGCTGCGATGTATGCGGCGCAACGCTCCTGCGACAAACCACAGGAGGCGCCGCGACCTCTGCGCTCGGCGATATCTCGATGCTCATGAACCGCCTCCTCGAAGCATGGGGCATCGACCCGACAGCCGCGGGCGCCAACCAACCTGCGACCGAGGAAGCTGGTGCGTCCTTTTCTACGTTAGCCATTGGCCTAACGACATGGCTCTCTAGTGGCCAAGCTCAGCACGTTTGCGGCGGGGCAAGCAGCGACAACCGAGGTTGGCATGGTCGTCGATGGGATCAAAGGCGAGGTTGCCGCCTTCCATTTGTCGATCCGTGGGACACGATCGATCCCTTGCTGCTAGGTCATCTTGGTTCCCGCCAACTTTGGTCCGTGCGTGTCCTTGCTCAAATCCGACCTCGTCGTCGCGACTCCCTTCAACGGCGCGTCTCACTTGACCTGCGACGTCCAGAGCAAGGTCGCGCACCCAAACTTTGCCGTCGCGATGCCACGTCATGCTTAGATTGTACTGATGGAGCGGGGGGCGTGTACCTTTGCCAACAAGATCCTTCGCGCGCAGACCGCGGGGGCGGCGGCCGTCATCATCGTGCAGACCGCCGACGTCTGGCCGTACACGATGACCGACTCGTCGGGCGAGGGCGTGGGCATTACGATTCCGGCCTTTATGATCAGCGCCAAGCAGGGCAAAGGGTACTCTCTCTTCTGTGCAGCATCTTGCTACACTCTACTTCTAGCCTCGTCGAGTATGTTGCCCATCATGCGACGAAAGCAACGATCGAGGTCCGTCTCAATGCGCGCGAGTGCGTGATTTGCCAAGTCGAAGTCACAAACGGCAATCAAGTGAGCCGCATGCCGTGCCAGGTACACTGCGTGGCGATCCACTTGGAAGACTGAGCGATGCTGCAGCACATGTTCCACACCGACTGTCTCGCGCAGTGGCTGCAGATCCGCAACAGCTGCCCCATTTGCCGCGTCGAGATTGCGTCCAAGAACGGCCGGGCCAAGACGGACGCGGACCGGAACTTTCTCTGGAGCGACTGGATGTCCTAAGGCATCGACGCGCGAGATGCATTGAACGGCGTCTTAAACGAGCTTCTTCTTGTGAAAGTACGTCTGCAAATGGTGCACCTGCCACACGCCCGTGATGACCAAAATGACAATCTACACAGATCAAGCTTGGAAATGCAAAGTACGACGAAGCAGAATCGTGTACCTGGATGACCGAGACCCACATGGCGCGCGCATTGTTGCTTTCGCTCGTGGATCGAAACTTTTCATCTTTCTCCTGTGCGCCAGAGACGTAAGATGCAAGGCTACCGGTAAGGATGCGTGTACCTGCGCGTAGTCTTGCTGCTTTTGGATCGCACGGACGCGGTCGCGAAGCTTCATGACCTCGAGCTCGAGCTCGTTCATTTGCTCGCGCTTGGCCAAGTTGGCGTACTCTTCGTTGCTCGTGCCAAACTTGAGCTTGAGCGAGAAGCGCTGCAGCAATCATGCATGTAGAGAAGCGTCGACAATGGCGAAGGTACCATCTTGGTCGTGGCCGGAACGACATACTTGTTGGTGTCAATGCTTACGCACGTCCAGTGGCCGCCGGGCAGCGTTGATGTGAACGCGATCGAGCCCTTAGGGCTGAGCGTGTGCGTCACGGAGGGCACTTGGTTGGGCTCGTCGTCGCCGGTCGGCGATGGCCCATAGATCTTGATCTCACTTTTCTACCGCAGAGGCATCATGAGCGTCGTAAGCGGGCGCGATGAACTACGAGCTGGTCGGTCGAGTCGGGCGACTCGTACTCGGCGCGGAACGTCGTCGCGTCCGGGATGTCGAGGAAGAAGCACCGGTGTTCCTACGCCCGCCATCATCATCATTAGGAGCCATCGCCAGAGCAGGCATCGCACCTCCGGCGTCACGAAGAAGCGGGAGCCATGCGCCGTTGCGACGAGGGCGGCGACGAGCGCGACGAGCTGGCGGAGCATGCTGGTCGGGAAATACGCACTGCGCTTGGATTGGCTAAAATACTGCGATTTTCTGGGATCCTGGGGCCAACAGCTGGCAAGCAGTCGTGGCTTCTTGTCAGCAATACCGGTACCGTGCCATGGGTACGTGTCATACTTTTATTTCTTAGCGCTACCCTGGTCGTCTTGAAGGTATCGTGGGCTTGGCAGCCTTCCATCACTGCCAAGCCCATCTTTGTGTGAAAAGATCGTGTGCGCACGACATGATTGGCTATAAATCAAATCCTGTGGCTTCTCCATTGGTGCTCGCGTGATCATTTTCGTCGTGTGGACACCTGTGTTCAATATGGACGCGGCGGCCAAATTAGGTATGGATGCGATGGCTTGAAGTTCGTATTGGGATTTTAGCCAATCACAGGCGCGACACGGATGTCTACGCTAACATTGAGATTTCTTGGAGCGACCATGGCCGCGCTCTGGTGCAGCTCCTTCTCCAAGCTCGACGCGCGTCCGTCGCGCCGCCCGTCGTGCGTCTGCCGCCTGCGCCTCTGCGCTCTCGACGACTACATGGAGGATGCGCCATCGTCCGCCGAGGTCAACGCTGTCCTCTTCGTCAACATGGGCACGCTGCGCCGGCTCGGTATCATCTCGGACGCGCTGGTCGTCGTCTCGGCGCCCGACGACGACCGGCGTCATATCGCCCGCGCTAGCCTGTTGCGCGACGTACCCAGCGATGGCGTGTGCTTGAGCCCAATGCTCGCCTACAACGTCGGGCTGCGCGCAGCAACAGGATCCCTCGACGTCCGGCCTATCCAAAGCGCCGACATTGGTCTCGCTGGCCACAAGAGCTTCGCAGCCTCGACGCTACCTCCGGCCGCGTCGCGTGTCGAGATTGCGCCACTGCTGCTGCCGTCGTTAGCGGTCGCGGCGCCGCACCAGGAGCAGCTGCTGCGGGCGCTTCGCGATTACTTTGGCACCCCTCGGCTCCTCCAAGAAGGCGACGTCTTTGGCCTCCCCGTGTTTGCCGACATCCTCGACGGACGACGAGATGGCGCACCCGCGACGATCGATATCCCAGTCGGCGCATTCCACGACGATCCGTCGGCGACAGCAACGGTCGCCGTGCCCGACGCGCTGCAGATTCCAGTCGACGTTGTGTTTTTCGCTGTCGTGAGCGTCACGGCGACGACACCTGCGGTCGCGTACTCGGTGTCTCGACAGAGCACGACGCTCGTGCAAGTGGCGCCGCGGACGCTGCGGCTACCGGAAGAAGGCGCGATGCGTCGGTACTTGTCTCGTCCGTCGGGGCCGTCGGCGCCGACAGCATCGACGACGTCGCACCTTGCAGAGCTTCTGCATCCGACCGACGTTGGCATTCCCATGTCTATCTTGCTCAGCGGTCCCGCCGGCATTGGCAAAAAGTCGCTTCTGTACGACGCCGCGTCCACGCTGGGCCTCTACGTGCTCGAGGTGAACTTTACGGACCTCACGAGCACGTCCCAGGCGCAAATGCTCGAGAACCTCCGAGACATTGCCGCGAAAGCCAAGGCGCTCTCGCCTTGTGTGCTGTTTCTGAACCGGTTCTTTGCCTTTGAGGTACAACGCTTCGTTTGGCTTCTATCGCAGTCGACCAATTTTGTGATCTCTTGTAGAAGGACGACGAGGAAGCATCGCTGCGACTCGGCAGCGCCATCATGGAGTGCCTGGACGCGATGGACGTGCCGCTTGTCGCGACGGTCGAAGATGCAAGCGAGCTCCCCGCACTCGTGCGTCAGTGTTTTTTGTACGAGCTGGCATTGGAGGCCCCCACGGAGGCCGAGCGCCTCGCGATGCTCGAGCAGCTCACGGCGACGACCGTCTTGGCGGCCGTACGACACCGTATAGATCCATGACTGTTGATTCATGGATCGACGATGCGTAGGACGTGGACCTCGCAGCAGTCGCGCACCAAAGCGCTGGCCGCACGTTTGGGGAGCTCCGTGCCTTGGTACAGTCCATTCGCATCGGTATATACCCACAGGAAATCTGTGCGGCTAGGTGGCCGATGCCACGTGCCACCGCCTCGCACAAGTCTCGGAGCTTGCGACGATCGACGAAGATGCGATGATCGAGAGCCTCTCGGCGCTGGCTCTGCACATGGTCGACTTGGAGCACGCACTCAAGCACCAAGCGACCAAGTCGTCGCTCGGTCTTGGCTCGGCCACGATTCCCAACGTCAAGTGGGAAGACGTCGGTGGCCTCGACCACGTCAAAGACGAAATCCTCGACATGGTATGGCCCTCTCCGCTTTGTATGGCAAATATGGATCGCACGATCGTGCATTGGTAGGTCCAATTGCCGCTCAAGCACCCCGAGCTCTTTGCGTCCGGCGTCCGACAACGCTCGGGCATCTTGCTTTACGGTATGGACCATTTTGTCCATGTGTCGCGCGGCGCATGGATGCTCATGTCCATACGCAGGTCCACCGGGCACGGGCAAGACGCTGCTGGCCAAGGCGATCGCGACCGAGTGCAGCATGAACTTTATCAGCGTCAAGGGCCCCGAACTCCTCAACATGTACATTGGTGAAAGTGAAAAGAACGTTCGGCACGTGTTCCAAATGGTATCGATTGTATTGATCTATCGCAAATGGCATGACACGATTGTCTATATTAGGCTCGGAACGCGCGTCCGTGTATTCTCTTCTTCGACGAGCTTGACTCGCTCGCGCCGATGCGCGGTCGCGGCAGTGACTCGGGCGGCGTCATGGACCGCGTCGTGTCGCAGCTCCTCACGGAGATCGACAGCAACCTCGACCAAGTGTTTGTCGTCGGTGCCACCAACCGCCCGGACCTCATCGAGTCGGCGTTGCTTCGCCCTGGGCGGTGCCGTCCACCCTCGCTATGTGCAATTCGCTCTATGACGCCTGTAGGTTTGATCGACTGCTGTACCTCGGTATCTGCAGCGACAAGAACGCCCAGCTCAAGGTCGTCGAAGCCCTCACGCGCAAGTTTCGCCTCGCGCGCGACGTGCACTTGCCGACGGTACGCGTGTCGACGCCGGATAAGGATGATGACGCAAGCGCGTCCTAGGTCCTCTCGGCGTGTCCGCTGCACTTTACAGGCGCCGACTTTTACGCGCTCTGCTCGATTGCGCTGGCCAATGCGATCAAAGACCGCGTCCGCGCCATCGACGCGCACATTCGTACGTCGTTTCAGCGCATGACACTGTTGTTGCTGTTAATGTCTAACGTTTCTGTGCAGAAACAACCAACCAAGCCGATTGCTACTCGGCGCGGCCGCTCAACCCGGCGATGGTGCTCGACAAGATGACGCCGGACGAGCTCCAAGTCGAGGTGTCCGCGACGCACTTTGAACGCGCGCTTGCTGCTGTCGTGCCGTCGGTCTCGGCCTCGGAACTCGCCCACTACGAGAAGCTCCGAAAGCAGTTTAGCTCGCTCGACGTCGCGTCTTCCTAAATTGTTAATCGTTTGTTTTGAAGTCGACGCACACACTTGGTGTGTCTCGGAGCACAGCTGATGCTACGCCTCGAGGATATCGAAGATACTTGTAGACGAGATTCAAAAGGCATACTCCTAGACCAACCAAACAATTGGTCTTTTCGGAGGTCAGCCCCTCGGGTAGTGGTTTTGTCTTCCACTCAAATTCGTGCTCGAACGCATGCTCATTAGCGTTACAGAGCGGGCGCGGTCGCCCTGCCTCCACGAAGTCCCGTCGCCTCCCGGCCCTCCGCCGCCGCCACCACTCGTCCGGCCTCGCCGCGTGCGACGTCGGTTCTATGCGCTGGGTCGGATGCGGGGCTCGGACAGTTTCGTTTGAAACACACCCGACGGCTTGCACTCCTCTGTCGGGTGGTCAGAGTACAGGAGCCGGTGTACGACCTCGCGCGAGCTATCCCTCGGCGAGTGGGGTCCACCACGGGATGGATCTCTGAGCTCACTCCCAACGACCAAGTGCTGGTGCCAACTCGCACGCATTCAGGCGTAGCACTACGTATGCGAAGCCTTTGAGTTTTTGCTTCTTTGATATCAACGCGAACACGTTTGATTGACATGAAGCAAGATACCTCCACAGTTGCGTGTTTCTATCCCAGCGGGTTGCACCATCGTGCCCCGGGGCACAAGCATATCACATTATTTTCATCGACGGGGCATGGGCAACAGGCCGTCGTCGCGTCGCCCAGGCCCGACGATCGAGACGTCGACCACCGAGTCGATCACCACCGACTCGTACGTCTCTGCGATGCCACCGGCGCGCCTCCGAGCCCTCGACCCGACCGCCATCGTCACGACCAAGAGCCTACGACCCAACATGGACGCGGCAACCCTCGACGGCAAGACGTCCATCGTGCTCAAGCGCTACGGAGTGGGGCGGTCCAAGCACTTGGCGCACGAAGCCAGCGTCCTCTCACGGTACATCTCTCGACGCCTCGCGCGCACTTTCTCACAGATTGTGCAGGCTCGACTCGCCGTTCGTCGTGGCGGCCGTGGGCTCGCTCGGCGCGTCGACACTCGCGATCGAGTACATGG